GGAGGAGGAGGTAGACTCCAGCCTACTGAGAGCCTGCTGCTGCCCATGTGGGTGTCCTGCACTTCTGCCTCCTCATCTTGTACTGCTGTGTTTCTTCCTGCTGCTTTTGCAGTGCTCTGTTGTTCCAGAACGGTTCGGTGAATCTCCAGCCAGCAATGGCTTCTGACTGGCGGTGGGCCCTTACACCCCCCTGGTTCAGCTGCCTGAGTCGGAATGCGGGTTGTCCTGCCAACGGGGAGAGAGGAGATCCTTCAGACGGTGACTCGGAGTGGTGGGATGGCTGGAGAAGCCTAACCTGGGCCGTCATTCGGACTCATCCTCCCGAGGAGCCTCTTTCTCTCAGTGTAGAGCAGGAGGCCCCTCGGCAGGTGGACGGGGGTGAGCGGTTCCCTCTGGGGTCTGTCAGTGACCTTCATTAATGCATCCAACACCCCTCTGCTGCAAGACCGGTCACGAAAGCAGACCGAAGCAACACGCAGGGGGTCAAAAGCTGTGCCGCAGGCAAGCAGATCGGGTGGTTGCCCTGAAAAACTCTGAAAGGCCCTTGGTGGTGCAGCAGGGTCAGCAGCCAGCTCGCGGGGCCTGGGGTGAGCAGAAGGGGAACCAGCAGGAGAGGTCAGGAAACAGCCTTTGCCCTGGGACACTGAACGGGTAAAAGTTCATTGGAGGCACATGTTCAGTTCTGGAATCTGCATTTCTTAGTGGAAGTAAAGGGTATGTACAGCCTGAGCACTGGTCAAAGGAACCTTGAAAGAGGATGGCAGTGGGGCAGTCAAGGAGGGATCGGTTCAGACCCATGAAAGCGTACAATGAGGTCTGACAGCCAGGAGTCAGGGTAAAAACGAGTCAGTGTTTCCTCAGTGAGAGCATCGTTAATTATTTGCATGGATTATACAAGGAGGTTGTAAATTCCCTATTTCTTGAAGTATTCAGGAAAAGGCAGTATTTTTGTAAAGAAAGCTCTAAAGTATATTATAGTGAAACCTCTAAAGACTCTGTGCCCAGAAAAATCAGTGAACATTATCAAGTCACAACATATGGCCTAAAAGTCTACAAGGATAATATTTTTGCCAGTTGTTAGAGTGTTATTATCTTCATCTCTGTTGTTTATACTTTGACTTTACTGTTTGAAAGTCTGTCAGTATATGCAAATGTCAGAGTGCTCTGAGCAGCTTTCCCATTTGTTTGTTTGAGGAGACACTACCTCGTGTTTGGCTTTGGAACTTGGCAAGCGTGGCTGATCTGGGAGAGGGGCTGGACATGAAGGTTCAGTGATGGGATCCAGCTGATGTTCAAAGGGAAAGTCCACTCCCAGAATGCTCTTAGGAGGCCACTGTGAAAAAGAGACACCATGTCTATTGCTAAGAAAGCATTGAAACTTGTGTGTTATAAAGTTGTGTGGTTTTCCCTCTTGTGTAAGCAAATAATACAGGCAAGATCAGAAGTATGGACTTGCACAACAATATTTGCCAGCTTTCTCTCTTCTATCTTCCTGAGGCTCATGTGTCTGAGGAGGTAATTCAGGTCTGTCTGTGTTCCTGAGAAGTCTGGACCTGAAATCTTTACTGGGGCAAAACTCTTGCTGAGTTACAGGATTGCATCCTTAACAGAACTTGCTGAAAACCCCATTCACATCATGTCTCCAGGAGAAATCGAGTCCCATCACGGGCTCGTCTGCCCCCATTGCCTACTTTGGAGATAGATTCCTTATCTTGGCCCATTTCTAGGCAGGTGGATGTCTTCACCTTCTTCCATCAGAGCTGTCAGCAGAGTTTTGGAGGAGCCTACAGGTCAGCGGGAAATACTGAACCCACGCTGCCGTGGTTGCATCCCTCGCTGTGCGGGCACGGAGCAGAGGTGTTCACTGGGGCAGCGAGCGGGGGGGCAGTCAAGCTGCCGAGTCATCAGCTTCACGCATGGTCGGGGTCCATGGGAGGGTCTGCTGCTCGTCTGCAGGGATTCCAGCTGCAATATTAAATAAAATTAAATGTCCCTTTAAGGCTTCGGGAGCAGGGAAGAACAAAGATAAGTGGAGGCAATTTGGCTTGCAGCGAGCAGCTGGATAGCACCCCAGTGCTCACCAGTACTTCTCCTTGTGCCAGAACGGGGAGTTGCAGGTCAGCTGGGAGATGCATCCCACCCGTGTACAGCAGAGCTTTGCTTGCCTTTGGTGGTGACCACTGGCATTTCGTGTGCAGCTGTTCCCTTCCGTGGTAGTAAACATTTTGATTCTTCAAAAGGCACTGCAAAAAGCTGATACAGAAAAATATTTCTCTGCAGCTTGCCCTAGACTTGGAAAATTTATAATTTTGTTCACATTTCTGACTACTACTAGGAAGAAGGAGTAGAATTTACACATTATATAAAAAATACCAAACAATCAAAGGAGAGGGAGTCAATAAAGTAATTAATTTACTTAGCTGGAGTGGCAATGCTTACCTGGTTTTTGGTGTGTCTAGAGGTCACAAGGGCTGTGAGTAGAGAAGAGCAATTGTACATTGTGCCACACTCACTTGTTCCTTTAACAGATGCCCTGGTGCAATGAAAGCTGAAGTCCTTAATGGTAAAGCGAGGATATGTAGATGTGACATAATCTGATCATACAGTGTCAGCAGTGTGATATCAGAGGCTTGGGGGGGGGGCATTAATTAAAATATTTAAATTTTATGCTATTTTTTGTATGCTTTCTTTAGCTACTCTATTTCCTTATCTCAATTTGTTTTACATAGTTGGGTTTTTTAATGCCCTAAGTCTTAACACTATAGTTTAGTTCTTTCCCTGTTTAAAGATTTTGTCAGCTCCTGAGGTTCTTCCCGATAGCATCCCCATAGCTTTGAGAGTTATTTGGAGATCAAGTCTCCTGTATAAACACATCTGTGAGGTCTGCAGAACCTGTCCAGCTGTTGCAGTGATTTTATTGGTGGGGAGATGAAACAAATAGTTTCTTATCTTTAAACACAAAGTGTTGAAAATAATGCCACACAGAGAAATATCCAAGTGGAAAGGTCATAAGAAAAAAAATAAACTGCACGAACATGCACTTTTTTCTGAATATATTTGATTATAGATGTTTGTGTGCTTCTAAAGAGAAGATGCTTTGGACACAGCTAAAGGAGCTCCCTCAATGCAGTTCAGAAGCTTACTCGGCCGTGCGGATCCCCTGCCCTGTACGCAGTATTCATTCAACGTGCAGGAGAGACTCTGGACCCCTGAGAGAAGGAAATGGGTGCTGATCTGGGAGGAAATCACCACCTTCTCTCTTCTCTCTCTTGTGTTCTATTGTGATGCTGATGGAGTTTTGTGGGGATGGTCTGAAAACCTTACTAGTGTTCTTCCCATTATTTTTCTGGGAACTAATTCTGAGTTGCAGAAGGCAGCAGCAAGATGGCAAAGGGAGATGCTCGTAGGCTTAACTGAGCTGGTTTGGAGGAATCAAATACGACTAAGCAGGGTGAGGTGCTTTGCAGCGTTACTGCCCCTCGTGCGCTGGGAAGTGATTCTGGCAGGAGGCTGGGCTGCCCCCGTGGCTCAGTGGCAGCGTGCAGACCCTGGGCAGCGGCACCGCAGGCTGCTGGCTGCGGTTACGTGCTAACGCATATAGCCAGCTTTGGGTGGGCACCACTTTTTGGTGTTTGCTCAGTACTGAAGGCCGGGCACAGAGAAATGAGAAGAGGGACATTGGCACAGGTAAGGGTGGGGTAACGAGCCAGGCAGAAGGGGAAAGTTGTTCGCATGAAAGGATGAGGCTGTTTCACTGTACTGGGGGAGCGATGGTCAACAATAGCAAAAGCTGCTCTTTCCTGCAGAGAGGAGGTGGGCAGGGAGGGGGTTGGATAGTTCCGGGAGCCCTTTTTGCCTGTCAATGCATTGTCCTATACTGGCTTTATTAAACAATCTGCCCATGCAAAGCTGATTGCGAGATCAGGCTTGACCTAAATTATGAACAGGGTGGAAGCGGTGAGTGCAGTGTGGTCATGCAAATGATTTAGCTCAGTTGCACGCACTTCTTTGAATTTCATATTAGGTAAAGATAATGCACCAGGAGCACGGTGCAATTGCATAATTAAGAGGGCAGCTCTCATTTTGTCCTGGGAAAGAACAATTACGTTTCTCCAGGAGGGTAAATGTTCAAGGTTTCCCAGTGTCAGAGCAGCCTGTTTGGTTTTGTCGTGCATCTCTAAAACCACCACGACCTTAGGGGAGCTGTGATTACTCAAGATTACAGGAGACGTGATTAGATGAAGGAGATGTTTGATATGTAGATTTTACCTGGACTCAGACTTCTTATGTTGCATTTAATGGTTAAGCGCTGGAGTGTTTGTGTTCCTGGAGGTCAGGAACATGGGTCTGTTGGCGAGGTGGCTGCTGATGCCACGAGGTGCTGGTGTGCCCGCAGGAGGAATTTGGCTTTCAGTCAAAGCACTCTGTGTATAACACACCCTCTTCAGAACTAGGTACCCCACAGCCACTTGTCCAGAATGGAAGAGCTCTGTGATCACAGTTGCTTTAAAAGGAAAAACAATTTTGAGAAACCTGTATTAATTCCGGTTAAGTAAAAATTCTGACTTTGTGCATCTGGCCTGTAGGTTGTTCCCTTGTTTTTCAGACAGGAATTTCTCTTGAAGGAGAGCATGTGGCTCCTGCTTGCTTTTCATCCGGTGTGCCCTACACAAGCCATTCCTTCATGCCATAATATTCCCTAACCTAGGTAAATCCAAAGAATTTATCTTCGATCTGGGTTTTCATTATGTAGCCCCTGATTTTGTATTGTCTCAGACAGTGAAACAAGCACTTGCCATTTCAGTCTGCTATAAAATTTCCAAGACTTCTTCACAAAATGGGAGAAACTAATAGCTTCTCACCAGGTTTCACAGCCAAGGTTGTGCATATCAGGTAACTGACTGTAAACAGTTGTAGTCCAAACACCTTTTTTTTTTTTTTTTAACTCTGCTAACGTTCATGTTAGTTAGAAATTTTGGTGTTTTCCCTTTTCTCCTCAGATGACACTGGCTGTCCTAGTAGCCAGTCAGTATCTCCAGTTAAGACTCCCTCTGATGCTGGAAACAGTCCGATCATTTTTTGCACTGGTAGCGATGGAGACTTCTCCAGGAAGAAATTCAGTCCAGGGACAATGAGTGAAGGGAACCTGCAGCTGTCTCGATACAAGAAGGAGACAAAGACAAGCCTTGTAAAGCCCGGTGAGTATTGTATAGTTCCTTTCATTTCTTTAATTACACTTTCTAATTGACTAGTACATCTATAGGTGTCTACATACATTGTGTTGTGCTGGCTGTGATACCAACTCGTGCTGATAGTAAATAAAAATGTAGTTGGGTTCTGTCTATGGAGCCACCTGTAAGATCTGAAAACACTATTGGCATTAGCTTTTTAATTAAATGTAATTAATTGACCTCTTCACTTTCTTTTATGAGGCTCAGTGGTGATGTCAAACAACTGAGATGGATTTTATCCTATTTCATGGTAATTGCACACATATTTCACTGGCAAAAGATAAATGACTCTTACTATCAAAGGAAAGAATTATAGTCTTCTGATGTTGTTAGATTTATTGTTGGATCCCGCTTAAAATTGACGCTGCCAGGCTGTGATAGCTCTGGGGCTGCAACATGCCAAGCCAAGGCAAGATAACGGGCAGGCTGCATGTGGGAGTTGGGCAGAGGCAGATCCATTCTGCTCTGGCTGCATCAAGAGCTTGTCTCCCATCGCCTCAGGCTAACGGGCCACCTCGGACCACTGGCTAAATCGGCACCTGCTTGTGCGCATCCAAGACTGAATATCCTCGTGTGCCACTGGCTGCTGTAATTTTAGTTAGTAGCTAGAAAATATTTTTCTGATTCATGTACAGACAGCTCTTGATTACAAATGGTCAGGATATTTGTGCTATTACTTAACTGATCATGGAGACAGAGGGGGTTTTGACCCCATACAGAGCCAGCTGCAGAACTGACACAGTTTATGAGCTCAGGTACCTCTCCTGGCTATCCTGTTTCCAGAGTCAATTTAACTCTGGAAGCAATTTACGTACTTTCACACGAAACCAGCTCGGATTTACCAGCACCCTGTTTAATCCAGAAGCAACAGAGGATCTGTTGCAAAAACACTGAAAGGGCTGATTAAATCTGATTTACCACCATCTCTGTGAAGTTCCTAAACTCATTTCATAGCACCCGTGTTACTTGGGGGCTCCCAGTCTCCCCTTATTCTGCATAATGGCAGATGATAATATATTTTCACTGTTGGTTTTCTGTTCCATTAAAAGCAAGGAGTCTAATGCAGGTGGAACGCAGTGAACATGGTATATGACAGTCAAATCCGCAGCCATGGCTGTCACAACCATTTTGTATGTGAATATGGATATAGCTTAGTAAAATGCGGATAAAGGATTTTGACAGTTTTTTGTACTGAAGAATCCTATACACATGGAAAAGAGTTATGCACTTGTTTCAATAAATTCCTTCATGGATTTTGATTATTACACTTAAATTGACCTAGAATATTGAATTAACAGCTTATTGCTGTAATAGTCCGAAGTCATCTTCATTTTAGTTGATGGTATTGTTTCAAATCTCTGAATTTAGTTCAGGTATTTTAAAAACTATAGTTTTAAAACTATGTTTCTTCCAAATATTAGGCTTATGTAATCATTTGACCTGTGTTTGCCTGTGTCTCCTTTCTTACCTCCATCACCACTAAATTCTTTTGAATTTCCTGAGCAATTTCAGCACAATTTGAAAAACAGTACAAGAGTCAGTAAGGTTGCAAGAACATAAGTGGAAAGGCTGAAAGGGAGAAACAAAGGGAAACTGAGTAGAATTTTAATATGCTTCAAGTGGGGAAAAAAGTCAACACAGGAGTCAAAAGCAACCTGCTTTATTAGTGTACTGCTTATGGAGCCGCCTTACTGCTATTCTTTGGGCAGACAGATACACTGACATCCTCGTCCATTCGTTTCTTATCTCTAGCTTTCTCTTAATGTGGCTTTATTCTTGTGGATGGGCCCTTTTCTGTAGCCATCGGTACCCCTGCATTGACTGGTCTCTACGGCTGGAACACTTGTCTCTAGAGCTCAAACGTATCGCTCCTGGGATCCATCAGGACTCTCAGAGCAGGAGCTGGGTCTGATTTACAGAGTACTTCTAAGCTCCTACTGACAAATATCTCACACCTCTTCTAGTGGGAAGTTGTCAAAAATATCATAGTCAGTGGAAGAGCTGACACAGGATGGGGACGTTCCCAAAATGGAGAGCATGCCAGGGGACAGCTGGGCTTCATTTTCCTCACTGCTGGCCACAGGGATTCGTGTCGTTCTCTCCCATTGCTATTGCTCGGCTTCAGGTGGATCTGGTCCCTTCCCTACTTGCGCACAAATTTCTGGTGGCTTGGTTGGGAAGATCCAGCCCTTGTGCAAAGAGGAGACATCGTCACATAGTGAAACGTGCAGGGGAGCAGCAGAAGGGAAGTGGGATGCGGGAGGAGGATAACAGCAACGCGCCCAGCCTGCCACTCTCTTCTACAGTCTCTGTTCTGCACGACGTTTTTGTAGGCGAGCACATCAATTGGTGTGCACCTTCAAAATGCCTGTCATTTTGCTGAAAATTTATCTTTTTCCAGGATTGTTTTCTTGGGACATGCTGAATCTCAGAAGTAACACTCACACAAATATTTAGATAATTCAGGAAATGTCAGAGTGGGATAGCACTGAGAATGAACCCTAAGACGTTTTCAGGCTGTTCCCAAGCTCTGATTCTTTTCTGCTACTCTAGCAACATCACTTCATCTTTCTTTTCTATACTTCAAAATATGAAATACAACATAGCTTTTTTCTCTCTGTCAGCCTAAGGCATTGCTATATGATCTAAGTCATCTTCACCTCTTGAAGTAGTAACAAACTAGATTTGGATATCATTCATAATTTATGTTGTTTTCATGGTGAACCTTTCTTAATCCTGGAATGCATTATCACTGTGTCTTGCTAAACATCTGAAAGATTTATAATCATGAAGAATTTGAGATGGTTGGTAATGGGTTTTATTGTGCATTAAGTCCAAATCACACCGGCATTATAGATGAATTTGGCTGAAAATCTGTGCGTGGTTTCCGAGGAAAGGATGGGGAGGACAGGAACAACATCCAATCCAGGAGAAAGTTGCAAGCCTTTTAATTTCAGGATTGGAGAAGTTGTTCTTCTTTTGGATGTGATTCATTTATTCAATATTAAAAGTAATAAAAATGTGTTGCAGAAAATGCCCTCGCAAAAAGGCACAAAAGCCTTAATTAAGTCTTAGTTTTGTATCAAGATGCTGTGCTGAATCCTACAGTTTCTGTAACTGAATAAACAGAAGCATAAACACGTCTACATATTCACACACTCCTCCTGCAAAGATCCATCCTGAATTCCTGCAGCTCCTGTCCACATCTTGCTGAGAACTGTGGGAACTGTTCTGCTTTCTTTGACAGTCTTTCTCATCTTGTTTTCTGACTTCCATCAGAATGCTTAGTGCAAGGATTCAAAATCTGGATCTGCAAGATGCGAAGTGCTGATAAACTTCCAAAGACGTGGATAAAGAAGGGAATCTTGAGCAACAGTTGTGTCAATAACTTCTAAAAGGCTTGCGTGTTTAAAGTGACACAGAGATGTGCTTATATTTAAATGTCTGTGAGCTTCTCGAGTCAAGAAGGGCACCTGATCGTGTTCAGCATTTCTGGCAAAAGTTATGGTCTTTACTTTCTTGCTTTTGGTGTCATGGGCACACTTGGGACAGTTTACTGGATGAGCTGAATGAATTATGAAGATATGAGATGAAACATTAAGAGTGTCCCAGACGTGTCCCTTCAGGAGCCTGCAGAGCAGAGGTGTGAGCACCGCTGCAGGGAGGGAGCCCTGGGCGAGCCACAGTCAGGGTCAGCTCCCAAAACCTGCGGTGACCGGCTGGCTGCCAGCCACAGCTCAGTTCAGCGATAATCCTCCCAGGGAGCAGCAGACCAGGCAAAAAAGTTATTTGTTTTCACTGCTGATAAAATATCTGGCCATCTATCACTGAACCTGGCTAAAACAGTGACATTTTGGATTACGTGGCAGTTGAACCGCAATGGATTGTCTCTCAAGGAGGGCAGTCATCGAGAATTTGGGCATTGAGACTTCAGCCTGTTCAAACTAACGGGCAAGCCTCAGAAGCTGCACCACATAGAGCACACGTTTGTTGGACAATAGGCAATGAGCAGAAATTAAGGAATGTGAAATTCCATAAGAACACTGTGACAGTGGTCAGAGACTGGCGCAGGTTGCCTAGAGCAGCTGTGGGCAGAGCCGCCAGCCATGGAAGTGCTCCAACCGCAGCTGGACACCGTCCTGGGCAGTCTGCTTCAGCTGGACTTGCTTGAGTGGGGAGATGGACTTGGTGGTCTCAAGAGGCCCCCTCCACCCCAGCAATTCTGAGATTCTGTGTTGTCCAGACATTTTTTCCTTTAAGTAGTACATCACTCGGGTCTGTAGTTAAGTAGTCGCGAGGCACCATTTGTGCTTTTCCTGCCCTGCCTTTCGTGTCTGTGTACTGCCATTCCACTTATAATGAGCTCATGGAACTGAAAGAATAAGAAAAGTGACTTTTAACAATCACTGTTCAATTCAGAATGACATTTAGCTTTGAGCTGTAATAAGTAATGCTGTATTCGGCATGTGTTGCCAGACGATCTTTTCTACTTCTTCTGTGTGAGTTTGTCACGTCACGAGTGAATGAGCCTTGGATGTCCCAGTCTGGACACGTTGATCTTTGATGGCTTTAGGACTATTAGGATTTTTAGGAGAGAGACAGGTGGAGCAAACTGTATTGGCCTTGAGTTGGTTGTGAGTACAGTGTAGGTGCAGGTGGTTTTTAATCAGCGTTAGAGCTGACAATAGTTATAAAAAAGGAGGCAAGGGAAATGACCCTGAGCAGTTGGGAACATTACGGTTAGAGCTAAATGAGCCAAACAGATTAGATAGGAAATACAGGTGTTAGCTGCAGATTATGTCTAGCTGTTAAAATGTAATGCTCTTCCTGCCGATTTTTTGTGCTGTCTGGTGTGTGGGGATTAGATTCCCAGGATACTAAATGTCCAGAAACTTTTTCTAGGAATCCCCCTTTGCACCAGAGAGCAGTGACTAGTTAATCCATTAGTGTAAAATTCACAGATACAT